AAAGGAGGGAGAAATGGACAGAGCATGAACATCCCCCACCAGGGGTGCTTTATCCCTTCCCTCCCCCTCTCACTTCATCTCAGTGTCTTTCTGGGGAGCATGGGCCATCTGACAAACTAAAAAAAGAAAGAAAGGGAGAGTTCCAGATCAAAGGCACAACTCTTGTAACCTCCATCCTCAGGTGGAACCACAGCCGCCCAGGCAGAGGACCTCGGCCTGGCTTCCTAGATAACTCAGTCCCACCTCCTCCCCTCCCACAGTGGGGAGTGGGGAGTGGGGAGCACTCGACCTGGTAGCACCTGGTATCTTTCCCCAGGCTTTCGGGGAATGCAGGGATGCAACTGATTCCTTTATTTTAATACAATTATGCAAAGTCCGAGTATTTAAAATCTTTTAGCAAAGGAAAGGATTTCTGACAGCTTTCCGAAGGAAGAAGTCTTTCAGGTGTGATTAAAAAAAAGAAAGAAAGAAAGAAAGAAAGAAAGAAAGAAAGAAAGAAAGAAAGAAAGAAAGAAAGAAAGAAAAGAAAAGGGACCAGCAGCTAGTGTAATGGTCATGTCGCTGGACTCCCACGTAGTTGACTGTGGTTCTAGTCCCGGACCCAGTGGCTTAAACTCACGCCAGGCATGTGTGTGTGCACGTGCCCAAGATCCCGAGAGGAGAATGGAGGAGAAGGGATTGCGGCGTGGCCATCCCCTCTGGGGGGTGATTTCTCATTTTCTATCTCTCTGTCTCTCTCTGTCTGGCTGGCGAGTGCACGCGCCCTAGAGCAAAAATCTCTCCAAAAAAAGAGGAAAAAACACGAAAACTCCTTCAATAGAGCAGGCAAATATTGTTGAGGGTGTCACACGCACACATGTCACGCTTCAGCCAGGCCGCTCTGAACCTTTAGGCAGGGCACGTTGCTGATGTGCACTGTCGGTGGAACTAGAGAGGAATCTAGGACATTCACAACGACTCTTTTCATTTTCATATTTTTATATTTAAATACACACTTCTGACATTACACAATAAGCACAAGAAGCCCACTTTATGTAATTTTTACAAAAACTTGAAAGATATAAATGGCTAACCCTCATACACAGCATATTTTAAAGTACTGAGGAGATTAATCTAGAATTCTATGCCAAAACCAAACATCTTTCAAAACTCTGAGTGAAATAAGCACATTTGTTGGGGCAGGACACTGACGCAGTGGTAAAACGAAACTGCTCTTCCAGCCTGACCCGCAGAGGAAAGTTTGGGGTTCTTCAAAGGAGACTTCCCAGAGTAAACTGGGCACCTGCGTGCCTGGGTCTAGGGCTGGCCCAGGCTGAGAGTACATTGCTGAATCCAGACCTGTTGGAGGTGCTCTCTGTCTTTTTCTGTCTCTTTAGCTCATGGTAGAAATGAATAAAATGAACTTATAAAAGGATTTTAAGGGACCAGCAGATTGCATAATAGTTATGTCGCTGGACTTCCATGTAGTCCACTGAGGTTTGAGTCCCAGACCCAGTAGCTTGAAACTCACTCTGGAAGCGTATGCGTGCCCAAAATCCTGAGAGGGGAATGGGCTAGAAGGGATTGAGGGCATGGCCAACCCCCTGGGGGTGATTTTTCTCTTTCTAAATTTCTATCTCTGTCTCTCCAGCCAGCACATGCACCCTATAGGGAAAATCTCTCTTTAAAAAAAAAGTGTTGGGAACCAGCAGTTAGCGTAATGGCTATGTCACTGGACTCCCACGTAGTCGACCGTGGTTCGCGTCCCGGACCCGGTGGCTTAGAACTCACGCCGGGCGCGTGTGCGTGCATGCCCAAGATCCCGAGAGGAGAATGGAGGAGAAGGGATCGCGGCATGGCCATCCCCCCCTGGGGGGGGTGATTTCTCGCTTTCTGTCTCTCTGTCTCTCTGTCTGTCTGGCGAGCGCACACGCCCTATAGTGAAAACCTCTTTTAAAAAAAAGTGTTTAAAACATTTTAAAGATGGGGCTGGTAGGTGGTGTAGTGGTTAAGGGCGCTGGACTCCCACATGGCCAACTGTGGTTTGTGTCCTGGACCTGGTGGCTTGCTTTCTCACTTTCCCTCTCTCTGTCTCTGTCTCTCTCTCTCTCTATCCCTCTCTAGTTGAATTAAAATAAATAAATGCAGTTAAATTTTTTTAAAAATCTTTAAAAAATTTTTAAAGATGTACAAAAGCTGAAAGAATTCATCCACAGTAGGGGACCCGTTGAAGTTCTCCAGGCAAAGGAATCAGGTACTGGTTGGTAATTTGGAGCTACACAAAGAAACAGAGAACACTGGAAAGGGAATCTACACTGCTAATATTAGTTGTTTTCTTGTTATGTAAATCTCTTTTCAAACATTTGACCAATTAAACAAAATAGTAACAATGGATTGTGGAGTTTGTCTCATCCATGAAAGCAACACGCAGGACCCAGCGTAAAGGCCAGGAAGGGAGGCACACACAGTACCACTTGTAGACAGACCCTGGACACGCTGTCACCCCTAGGGCAATCTCTAAAGTAACCAAGGAACAGTTATCACTAGCAAGCCATCGCAGGAGAGGAAGCGGATGAAATAAAAGCCCTGTGAATTCTAAAGAGGTAATTGCTCTCAGACCCTCTCCCCTACAAAAGTGTTTATACGAGTGGCCAAAGATATGTGTACGCAAATGGTGACTGAGGCAACACTTGTCATTATAAAAGAATAGAGCCAGCATAAAGTCGGATGCATGGAAAGGGTTCTATGTGTTTAATAAATGCAACAATTTGACACAGAAGCAATGGAAGCGATTCCTTTGTCAAAAGGAATACAGAGGCAATGATGTCATTCCA